AACGGTGAAAACTTTGACAACAGTCACAACGCTAACAACAGTGACAACAATGACACCGGTGACAAGGGTGACAAAAGTGAAAACAGTGACAACAGTGACAACAGTCAAACCAGTGACAACAGTGACAACAGTGACAACAGTCACACCAGTGACAACAGTGACAACGGTGACAATGGTGACAACAGTAACAACGGTAAGAACAGTGACAATGGTGACAACGGTGACAACAGTGACAACGGTGACATCAGTGATAACAGTGACAACAATGACAACGGTGACAACAGTGACAACGGTGTCAACGGTGACAACGGTGACAACAGTCACACCAATGACCACAGTGACAACGGTGACAATGGTGACAACAGTCACAACGGTGACAACAGTGACAACAGAGACAACGGTAACAACGGTGACAACATTGACAACAGTGACAACAGTGAAAACAATGACAACGGTGACAACAGTGAAAACGGTGACAACAGTGACAACGGTTACTAGAGTGACAACAGTGACAACGGTGACAACGGTGACAACAGTGATAACAGTGACAACAGTGACAACAGTGACAACGTTGACAATAGTGACAACGGTGAGAACGGTGACAACAGTGACAACAGTAAGAACTAAGACAACGGTGACAACAATAACAACGGTGACAACAGCGACAACAGTGACAATGGTGACAAGAATGACAACCCTAACAAAAGTGACAACGGTGACATGGGTGACAATAGTGACAACAGTGGCAACGGTGCCAACAGTGACAATAGTCAAACCAGTGTCACAGTGACAACGGTGACAACTGCAACAACAGTGACAACAGTGACAACAGCGACAACGGTGACAACGGTGAGAACGGTGACAACAGTTACAACGGTGACAACGGTGACAACGGTGACAACAGTGACAATGGTGACAATGGTGACCATGATGACAACGCTGACAACAGTGACAACGGTGACAACGGTGGCAACGCTGACAACAGTGACAACAGTGACAACAATGACAACGTTGACAAAAGTTACAATAGTGACAACGGTGACAACGGTGACAACAGTGACAACTGTGACAACGGTGACAACAGTCACACCAGTGACAACGGTGACAACAGTGAAAACAGTGACAACGCTGCCAACGCTGACAACGGAGACAATGGTGACAACAGTGACAACGGTGAGAACTGTGACAACGGTGGCAATACTGACAATGGTGAACATGGAGACAACGCTGACAACAGTGACAACGGTGACAACGGTGGCAACAGTGACAACGGTGACAACAGTGACAACAGTGACAACTGTGACAACGGTGACAACAGTCACACCAGTGACAACGGTGACAACAATGACAACAGTGACAAGGCTGACAACGGTGACAACGGTGACAATGGTGACAACAGTGACAACGGTGAGAACTGTGACAACGATGGCAATAGTGACAATGGTGAACATGGTGACAATGCTGACAACAGTGACAACAGTAACAACGGTGGCAACGGTGACAACGGTGACAACAGTGACAATGGTGACAAGGGTGACAACAGTGATAACGGTGACAACAATGACAACGGTAAAAACAGCTGTGACAACAGTGAGAACGGTGACAACAGTGACAACAGTGACAATGGTGACAACAGTGACAGCAGTGAAAACTTTGACAACGGTGACAACGGTGACAATGGTGAGAACAGTGTCAAGATTGACAACGGTGACAAAAGTGACCATTGTGACAAAGGTGACAACAGTGATATCGGTGACAACAGTGACAACAGTGACAACAGTGACAACGGTGACAACAGTGACAACCGTGACAATGGTGACAACGGTGACAACGGTGACAACGGTGACAACGGTGACAACGGTGACAACGGTGACAACAGTGACAACAGTGACAACGGTGACAACGGTGACAACGGTGACAACAGTGACAACGGTGACAACGGTGACAACGGTGACAACAGTGACAACAGTGACAACGGTGACAACGGTGACAACAGTGACAACAGTGACAACGGTGACAACAGTGACAACAGTGACAACGGTGACAACAGTGACAACAGTGACAACGGTGACAACAGTGACAACAGTGACAACAGTGACAACGGTGACAACAGTGACAACAGTGACAACAGTGACAACGGTGACAACAGTGACAACAGTGACAACAGTGACAACGGTGACAACAGTGACAACAGTGACAACAGTGACAACGGTGACAACAGTGACAACAGTGACAACAGTGACAACGGTGACAACAGTGACAACAGTGACAACAGTGACAACGGTGACAACAGTGACAACAGTGACAACAGTGACAACGGTGACAACAGTGACAACAGTGACAACAGTGACAACGGTGACAACAGTGACAACAGTGACAACAGTGACAACGGTGACAACAGTGACAACAGTGACAACAGTGACAACGGTGACAACAGTGACAACAGTGACAACAGTGACAACGGTGACAACAGTGACAACAGTGACAACAGTGACAACGGTGACAACAGTGACAACAGTGACAACAGTGACAACGGTGACAACAGTGACAACAGTGACAACAGTGACAACGGTGACAACAGTGACAACAGTGACAACAGTGACAACGGTGACAACAGTGACAACAGTGACAACGGTGACAACAGTGACAACAGTGACAACGGTGACAACAGTGACAACAGTGACAACGGTGACAACAGTGACAACAGTGACAACGGTGACAACAGTGACAACAGTGACAACGGTGACAACAGTGACAACAGTGACAACGGTGACAACAGTGACAACAGTGACAACGGTGACAACAGTGACAACAGTGACAACGGTGACAACAGTGACAACAGTGACAACGGTGACAACAGTGACAACAGTGACAACGGTGACAACAGTGACAACAGTGACAACGGTGACAACAGTGACAACAGTGACAACGGTGACAACAGTGACAACAGTGACAACGGTGACAACAGTGACAACAGTGACAACGGTGACAACAGTGACAACAGTGACAACGGTGACAACAGTGACAACAGTGACAACGGTGACAACAGTGACAACAGTGACAACGGTGACAACAGTGACAACAGTGACAACGGTGACAACAGTGACAACAGTGACAACGGTGACAACAGTGACAACAGTGACAACGGTGACAACAGTGACAACAGTGACAACGGTGACAACAGTGACAACAGTGACAACGGTGACAACAGTGACAACAGTGACAACGGTGACAACAGTGACAACAGTGACAACGGTGACAACAGTGACAACAGTGACAACGGTGACAACAGTGACAACAGTGACAACAGTGACAACAGTGACAACGGTGACAATGGTGACAATGGTGACAACGGAGACAGCGGTGACAACAGGGACAACAGTGACAACGGTGACAATGGTGACAACAGTGACAACAGTGACAACGGTGACAACAGTGACAACGGTGACAATAGCTGTGACAACAGTGACAACAGTGACAAAAGTGACAACAGTGACAACGCTGACAACGGTGACAACGGTGACAACAGTGACAACGGTGACAACAGTGACAACAGTGACAACAGTGACAACGGCGACAACAGTGACAATGGTGAAAACAATGACAACAGTGACAACAGTGACAACGGTGACAACACAGACAACAGTGACAACGTTGACAACAATGACAACAGTGACAACAGTGAAAATGGTGACAACAGTGACAACGGTGACAACAGTGACAACGGTGACAACAGTAACAACAGTGACAACAGTGACAACGGTGACAACAGTGGCAACGGTGACAACAGTGACCATTGTGACAACGGTGACAACAGTGATATCGGTGACAACAGTGACAACAATGACAACAGTGACAAGGGTGCAAACGGTGACAACAGTGACAACGGTGACAACGGTGACAACGGTGACAATGCTGACAACAGTGACAACGGTGACAACAGTAACAACAGTGACAACGGTGACAATGGTGCCAAGAGTGAAAACGGTGACATCTGTGACAACGGTCGCAAGAGTGAAAATGGTGACAATAGCTGTGACAACAGTGACAACAGTGACAACGGTGACAACGGTGACAACAGTGACAACGGTGACAACGGTGACAACAGTGACAACGGTGAAAACAGTGATAACGGTCACAACCGTGACAACGGTGACAACGAAGACAACAGTGACAACAGTGACAATGGTGACAACGGTGACAACAGTGACAACGGTGACAACAGTAACAACAGTGACAACGGTGACAACAGTCACACCAGTGACAACAGTGACAACGGTGACAACGGTGACAACGGTGATAACAGTGACAACGGTGACAACATAGACAACAGTGACAACGGTGACAACGATGACAACAGTGACAACAGTGACAATGGTGACAACAGTGAGAACGGTGACAACAGTGACAACTGTGAAAACAGTAACAACAGTGACAACGGTGACAACAGTCAAACCAGTAAAAACAGGGACAACGGTGACAACGGTGACAACAGTAACAACAGTGACAACGGTGACAATGGTGACAAGAGTGACAGCGGTGACCACTATGACAACGGTGGCAATAGTGACAATGGTGACAATAGCTGTGACAACAGTGACAACGGTGACAACGGTGACAACGGTGACATCGCTGACAACAGTGACAACAGTGACAACGGTGACAACGGTGACAACGGTGACAACAGTGACAACAGTGACAACAGTGACAACGATGACAACAGTGACCATTGTGACAACGGTGACAACAGTGATATCGGTGACAACAGTGACAACAGTGACAACAGTGACAACTGTGACAACGGTGACAACAGTGACAACGGTGACAACGGTGACAACGGTGACAAAAGTGACAACGGTGACAACAGTAACAACAGTGACAACGGTGACAATGGTGACAACAGTGACAACAGTAACAACAGAGACAACGGTGACAAGAGTCACACCAGTGACAACAGTGACAACGGCGACAACGGTGACAACAGTGACCATTGTGACAAC